ACCCATATGGTAATACTATAGATACAATAACCGCAGCCAAATAAATACATGAACAAAGTAGGGCAATTAAACGCTTAGACGAAAAAAAAAATAAAATAAAAAGAAAGAGTAGTTCATATAATTGTTTTTTAAAAATGTTCAAGAAGTCGATTTCCATGACTTTTAAAAATGAGTTAAGTAACTTCGCAACACGCGGCCTTTCATAGTGGAGCTTCCTTTCTTGAGCCTTTGACACGCTCTCTTGAGTAATTTCATTAGAAGTCATATATATGTATGTATATATATATATATTGCGTGACTTCCCATTCGCTTTTAACTTGTGATTTATTGTTTACTGTAGTAAAATGCAGTAGAGTGGATAGGATCATTTATTTAATTTCTATTATGATTATAATAAAAAAATATAATGGTTATTAATCTTAAAAACATTGCGTTTATCAATAGCTGTTTCGATTTTAATTTTATATATACCGCAGTATAAACCTGCTACAGTATATTGCCCTCGTTACGTCTATGCAGCATGTTAGGTTCTTCAGAAATTAATGAACATATGTTGATATGATTGACAGATCCGCTGTTCGAATCCATAAAAATATTTAAGGACCGCCACATGAATAAATATATAGTGAACAGGTTATATTTAACACATGCTTGCTTACTAAGGTCACGGCGCCATAAAGGGCGAACTAAGCCGTAGGATGTTAGTGCTGAGAAGGTTTAGGCCCTACGCAAGTTTGGAACCGACAAATTGAAATACGTGATATACCTTTTGTCCTGAAACCTAGTCATGACACAATGGGAATTAGAAGGAACATTCAACGCCTGTTTAAAATCATTAAACTCCTACTGCAATGTTTTTTTTTTTCGAACTCTAAACTAGAAGGCAAGCAAATTCTTATTATAAGGCCCAGTCAGCACTACTTTTTCTTATTACATTTCTAGTTATTTTACTCCACTTTATCTTATTAGCTAAAAATAACTATTTTACTATTAACAAGGGTCTGAATACATATTTTTTCAGATACGCGCTCTTTTTCTAAATAAACAACGAATATTCTCTACTAGCATCTGCCGTGCCAATGTTTCCATGGTAGTAAGATGACCACGCTAAGGGTGATTCTCTACTTATATAGGTAACGGGTTCAGGTCGCTTGTCGCCACTTATGCTTGTTCTTTTGGCCAAAAGTATTATAAAATAACAATTTCCCGTTATTTCAGACATAACCAATGCGATTGATGCTTTGTTGATACTTTCCTACACATGTGGTCGCAAGTCTCAGCCCTTCTAAAACTTTCCTTCAACGGTCTAGCCCCCGAACAGCACTACAAATATAGAGAGAGTATTGCATACTATATTAAGTAAAGGTTCAATCAATGCTGTTGAGCGAAATCCTCCAGCACCTACGTGTTCCATCGCCAGGACTGCCACGTCTATTAATATCATCATACGTTCTCCAATATAAATATGAATCTAATAATAATGTTTGCGTCAACTATCTATTTCACCCTATCGTATCATTCAGCTGTCCTGCGTCCTTTACAGCGACACCCGCACACTTGTTCTTCACGCGCCAGTCTGTTCACACAACTCGGCGAGAACCGCCGTGAAAGGACCGACCGATAACTTGTCTGATCTGTGATCCTCCCCTTATTTTGTTTATCATTCCGTTGTTTACGTATTTAGCTTGCTTTTGCTGCTGTATCTACTGCTCGTGCTTCCTTCCTTTTTATCTACTTTTATTTATTTGTTCTTTGTTGAGCACCTCCCTTTTTGAAGCCGCCCAACCCCATCCTTTTCTATACTTCGTTTTCTTTTTGTTCTGCCTACCATTTTCATTGTCTTCGTCTTTTTCTGCTTTCGTCCGACAGTAAAATTCCCAAATTAGAAAAGGCCCGTATTTCCCGATGTTCCGGACAAGCCCAACATTTCACTGGAGTCGCCCACCTGTGCCCGTTCGCATAAAACCTAAAGGGGAACTATCGGTGTCTGGCTGCAGACGAAACGACAGAAGCAGAAGCACTTACGCTGTCGCCATTGCTGCGAATCGGGCGACGCTCTAAACGAGAAAGGAAAAACAATTGGAGCGGCTGCACGAGCCGCTCTGAACGGCCAAGTCTGCAAGCGAAGAAATCTCTCAGATAGACTCCTGTTGAATTTTTCGCATGCTTGCGCGCAGGAGGGCTGAAGAAAATGGGGTAACGGGGCTAGACAGTACAGGGATAATTCCCATTACTTTTACAAAGATTCTATTTTTGGAACAAAACTAGTAAGACTAGTGGAGACGCGGACAAGTGGCCAGGCCGGGGCCAGCGTCTCGATTAGTGCTATCAGCGCAGAACCAATGTACGTTCACATTGCTTGCGTTACTGTAGGTTTTTCCTTTATTCTTTGTTCCTTTCCCTTTATTGTTCGATCCGTGTTTGTTCGCACTCTTTGGTGCTAAATCTCGTTACGGTAAACGTCCTGGAAAGATTCAACGGTCTGGACTAGGTCGAACGAATGACGCGACCCGTGTATTCTAGCAAGAGACTTTTCCTTTCATGATCGTATGTGTTGGCGCTTACCGTTTTCTTTAATACAGCTGCAGCCCTGATGACAGCAGCTGCAAATGCCAATCGCGTAGACTCTATCGCTGAAATAGAAAAAAAACTCTCAATCCGATCGCCTGCTGAAGTATGTAAAAGGGCCTATTAAAATCGAGCGCGTAACTAACATGGGAAATGAAGGAAGAACACATTAGGAGGCGAAAGTTAAACTAAAATTTCGTAGAATAACGCGGCCCGCCTTTTTTTTTCTCAGCCATATGATATACGTGAAATTCATTTTCATACGATCTGTTCACATTTGTTTACGTCTGGATGTGTCATGAGAAACTATGTACTGTTTGTGAGAAGGCTCTGGCTTGGCTTTACTTGATCAGTACCGTAAGAGCACTAACCTCCTCATCAAACCTTGAATAAAGTTACGATTACTGAACTGAGATTAATACTGTGCACTCAGAGCTTCGACCAACGACGAGTCTAAGGAAATTCGAGGCTAAGGAAGCGACGAGACCAAACAAATAATTATAGTTATATTGATAAAACTGCTTTTGTTTTTGTTATTATTGCCACTTTTGTACCACGTAAAATGCTTAACCTAACTAGAACGCTTTGAAGGTTTTCTGCAAGTACGATGGCATCCGAAGATCTGTCCTCTGAGTGTTTGAGAATTTTAATTTAATTAGTGTTTTTTTTTTATAATAACGTACTCCATTTGTAGGCACAAATTTAAATAATTCGATTAGCGCGTCTTATATAATAGAAATCGTGGCCCTGGTCAATAATACTTTACATAGTACAAGCAGCTGCTTCTCTCCGCTGGCTCAACAACGTTTTCACTAACATACGCAAACGATACTCTGTAAGTCCGCAACGCTTTTCGAAGTACTATGATTTCCTAACGAGGGACACTCGGTATTTATATATATATACATATTATTATATATATTGACCTTCATGATTTGCTGGCTGGTATCGTTCGAAAATATAATATACATCAACTAGAGGTTCTCCTGACATTATTACGTATTTTTCGGTAATGTGTATATTCACGTATGGTGGCCAATGTGTCTGACGTTTGCATCTCCTTTGTGTCTATGTGAAGCCTAAAAAGGCCTAATGTAGACGCGGGGTAGAAAAATGCATTTGAAAAACTGTCAGTCATTTTTATAATCGAAAATTTTTGTTGTAAAGGTATTGAGTACCGTGCATACATGCAGGCGTACGAAAAATTATTAGGTTATTAAATATTAACGACGGTGGCTGAAATAGGACCAGATTTTAACTTCAGATATACTATATATTTGAGAATAGACGTAATGCACGCGAGAAGTAATGTCATAATCAAGAATTACTATACTATGTCTAGCATGTACGAGGTCAACATCTCCGCACGTAGCCATGACTATATATATATATATATATACCATATAAAATGTATAATTACATCCCAAAACGCTTCGAGAATGTCGGCAGCACAGTAATTTGTCATAAAGTTCTTCTTTACAGGCAATTTAAGCCTGTAAAAAAGAAGTAGATGCATCAAAGACAGAGGAATCTTGGCCACCATTTTGACCTTTGGCACACACACCAACGACGTTAACGAACTTTCTACAACTTCTACTGGCCTCACGATATAATTTGTCTTCCGAAAGCGGCTGAATGGAACGGCCATCTAGATAATGATCTGTAAATTTCGCGTTTCTTCTTTAGTTTGCGGATTTACATAGATTCAAGTTGCATATGGACAACAGTTTGAAACCGCTATTAAATTTTATTGCATATGGCCGGGACAACGAAATACCATGCCCGTAGAAACAAATATTTACTTGAATAAAGACTTTCTTCCCCTTGTCTAATAATTTAAAACCTCACATCTCGCTGTTTACTGAGAGCCGGTAACCGCACCTTAAACGCTCGGACGCGTTTACACACACAAATACGTATGTACTATACGTGACCCATTTTAAACTTTGCTTTTAACAATAAGCTAGTCTCTTAGAGAAACCCTTCCACTTTGGTGAATAAGGCTCATGAAATACTCCATTCGAAGGTTTACAAATTGTCTCAATAATAAATTCGACCGTGTTAGACTGAGAAGCGAATCGAAAGTGGTACCTATGGTAAATATCTGCTGTTCGCCAATTCTTAGTCAACCACAAGACGTCTCAACATCGAAAACCGTGTCTCGTTGACAAAACATGAAGCCACAAAGTTCCCTTTTTGAGGCGATCACCACTCAAGACACAGTTTGCTCCCTTAAGGCCAACAACGCGCGTTCAGGGCAAGAATAGTCGTGATTTTTTGAAGACAAAACGCTTAGTTTTATAACTTGGTCTCGTCAGTTTTAAAGAAATAACGGATTAAGAAACAACACAGGTACAAAGCTAAGTAAACCAGATTTGCTACAGTCAAACCGCTTCCGCTCTGATTGCTGTTGCCATAAGTTAATACGAACTTTCTCCTAAAGTTCGTTTCTTCTAAACTAGCAATCAACCAACTTGGCACACCCTCTTAATTAATGGGTGAATCCTCTCTTACTTTATTAGCCCGATTCTCTACTATTATGGGGAGGTGACAAAATCATCTCACGATTGGCCAGGTGATTTTGTATTTTGATTGCGCGAATATGAGTGGGATGTTCGCTTCAGGAATCGGTCGCGGAAAACTTTAAACGTATCGTAGATTGTTTTCTAGAGTTTTGCCCCTTGGTTGATTATCGTTTACATAACCAAAAGTAAGGATACGCCCACGAGCTCATTGAATGACCTCGTCAAAGAATACGACTTTCACGTAATCTAAGACAGCTGAGCTCTGGAAAGCCGGCTGCTCAGATACATATTCGTACTAGATCACCGACATCTATACGAAAAACTTTGAAGTTCAAGGTCTTCTAGATAATTAGTTACTTTTATAATTTAAATTAAACTCTGCTTTATAACTGTTCACTCATGCGACAGCTCTCTGGTTTTTGATTCCATTCTTTGCTCTTTCATGGAACAGACAGGAATCGTTCTTCGTCCAATGGGGAATCTTCAGCTGGCAATTGAATTGTTTGCAGTTCCGGATGCTGTTCTTTCATTGCGTGTATTTTTATTGCAAGTGCTTTCTTTTTGCCTGCTATACTGACGTTTTTCGGTGCAGTGTGGTAGAACTGGACGCGAAGTTACAAAAACCACCGATACAGATGTTCATATGACCGGAACCGCTATGCTTCGGCCGATAGTTTAACATTGTATATTTTGAGCTTAAGCTTTCAGCGCATGCTATACCGAAGCTGGCGCTTGTGTCTTCTCCTTCCTCTCGCGGTGCAAAAATGACTGTACTGACAGTGGCGAGCATGTTATTAGGAGACGCTTAAAATATGCACATGTGCTTTAAGTGAGGGCAAAATTAAAACGCATCGGGTACAATTACTTTGCTTGATATAACTTGATTGAACCTATTCCTCTTATTCCTACCCAATATAAATTATGCAAGCAAAACCATCCGTATTGCATTCGTCATGCCACATTTTTACATCGCAGTTTATTAAGGCCCACCTATTTTGGTAGTTTCATTTACACGACCGCACATACACACACAAATACAAAAATTGGACAAATGCCACAGGCATGTATTTTGTTCATACAACCGTATAACAACGAACATTAACAAACGTTCCTCTATTAACTTCTAGTACATAGCATTAAATTCTCACATTAACCGTTCTCATCTACGTAAGTAACGTATAGCGCCAGATTAGGTTACGCCTGCTCAGAAGTAAATCATCTCATCAGCACTAGCCATCCATCAGAAGTTTAGAAGCAATAACTTGTCGAAACAATAAGCGACGAACAAATTCTGCTCAACCCTGCCTGACTTCGGTACTTTGGAGGCTGTTAATAGTTGATGTACCTTTCTTGTTATCATTTTGTTGCGTACAGACTTGTCCAAACTTGCTGATCAGCTTGCTATTGTTCAGTTGCCGCTCTGAACTTCCATACGACAAGTCGCATTGGTCAAGTACTCGTGCTGCTTGCGGTTGATCCGAACAGGCCAGTTTCTCTTTACCCTCTCTCGCCGGTGAGATCAGCCTTGGAAGAACAAATATAGCCATTACACTGAAAATGTGCCCGTAAAAGTACATCTCCCACCACATCGCCATCGCTTTGCCAAAGCTAAGCAGTATAAATGGTATTGTCGCGTAAGCAAAGCCAGCAACGGTTGCAACAAACGTGATGGCGTCCCATACAAACCGGCTGCTCGCTGATTTCTGGAAAAATGGCCGAACACTCCGACGGACACTGCGAGCAGCTAACGTTTGTACGGCCAATGTCATGAAGGTGAGATAGTAACCGGGATAGAATCCGTGCCAGGCCGCCGATAGGAAGAAGGTCGTCAGTGTCTTGCTCGTTGCTACCCGATCGTAGCAAATGCTGCGTAGCCATTGTTGGGTCGATTTATTCCAGGCGGCAAGACCTTCACGTTGTGAGACAGCGGTCTCCACTCCCCAGATATCGACGTTCGTACACCCATCCCAATGGTCCTCACCGTTCTCATAGTAATAGCCCAAATTCGACGAATTGCAAATGGCCTCGGCCATCTTCCAAATAACGTAATACTGCTGACGGGTTAAAGCCGTGTACACAAATAGCCAAAACATTTTAACCGGCATATATGAGTTGCGAAACTCATCACTAAATAGGAATTCCTGCTGGAACCTTGGCACAACAAATATCAGGACAAGGATACAGAGGATGCAATCCAGCGAGCGTTTCAGCACATAAGGCGTCGGGTTTGGGTCGGACACCTCAGGCTTTTTCAGCTTGTCGTCGCCCTTGTTCTTCATATCGCGCTGACGATCTTCGAAGATCGTACCCTTAGTAACTGCTTCAAACTCGTTAAACGGTATAAGCGGTCCACAGAGTATTTGGTGAAAATCAAATCCGTAAGCGAGATACAAAATAAAGCTGGGCTTTTTCTTCACAGCGTGCTTGAGCATAAGCGGTGTACACTTCTCAGGAAGTTGCCCATCGCGAAGGTTGAAGGCCAGGCTGGTTAACCGTTGGGTCAACATCATTAGAGCGCCTGGAATAAACAGCAAACCGCAGCAAAGATGCGCAATGAGTTAGATTATCAATTTGGAATAAATTATAATATTTTCGACATAACATCCAAGCATTCTACCCCGATATTATTTATAGTCGATCGTCAATTCTAGACCATAGAAGTAAAAAAAAATAATACCCGAACAGCATGAGACGGCTGCTGATGTCTGAAAAATACACAGTAGTTAGCTGCTAATCATTTTGTTTGATTCCGTCCTGCTTCAAGCTTTATGTCAGAGAGAAAATGTTTCCTCTAATTGTCACCCTAGCAAGCAAATCTAAACGCCGGAAATGGCCCAGCGTGTACATAAAGGACTACTCTATATATGTATAAGCAGTTACATTATTGAAAAAACCTCTAGCAACTTACTAGATCTCAGCTTGCTGAGAAAAATTCAAAGGAGTGTTTACTTTATAACAATGGCGACCAATGACTATTTGTCGGTAACGGGCTACCTACTATTTACAACTGTACAAAGTAGAGTTATTGATGAATCAATTATTCAATGGCTTTGAATTCAAGATTGGCTAAATGGTTAAACCAAGGACAAAAGGAATCACATGATAAAGTCGCATGTAGACCGGCAGCGCTTTTCTCTCGGCGGCTGTTTGCGGCCGGCGGTCGAAGTTATTCTTGACTACATAACAACCCCCCACCCGAACGCGGACACAGCACAAAGCTGATCGCAGGATCTCTTGTTGAATATTCCGTTTGACGCTTAATTGTTATTATTTTGTACCAGAGACAAACAGGAACCAGTCATGAGGACCGATACGGGACCACCACAACGTGTCTGTTTCAGCTATCGTCGCTGCGGACGAGTAAACGGCTGAACATTGTTCCCCATTATCAGCTACGCACAAGAGCGAAAATTGTGGGCGCTCGACACACATTTAAACCGACTTACAGCCGGGCAGACGCATACACACGCGCACGGGTTGCAGCTAAACGCCCGGGATGAACCGTTCGCCACCGCCGCTACCATCGTCATCGCTGATACTCAAACTGGTCGGAGCGCTGACGCCAACAGTAGCTACTTTATATATACCTGCAGCTGTAGGTAAAACTATAGGTACATCCGCTGAGAATCAGCTGTCGGATTTGCTTGCTAACAGCAACAAATCCAGCTAAAACTGGGCTAGTCGAATGCGTAACAAGAACATCCGTCATGTAAATAGTATACTTGTAGAAATCCAGACCCAAGCAATGCCTTAGTTTAACTAACCGCTTAAATTACTGTTTTTCTCTCGCTATGTATAGGACTCGTGTCACCATGCGGTTGATTTAACTGCTCATATTTGCTTTGTAACGAATACGCTTTTCTTATGCAAAGGTTAGAACGGAGCACTGTTAAACGGATTTTCCTGTTTTTGTTAAGATCAGCACAACGAGAAAATTACTCAACAGCTGTCAACTAATCATATGTCCGCTAAATGGTGGTCACCTGGGCGGTGTATGAAAATTTAGAAGACTAAAATTTAAGTTTCCGCCGTTTACGCTATCGTTACCCCCTCAGAGACGGACAAACGGATAGGTAAAATGTTTTGAACACTTCGCCATTTATTGGGCTTTACGTTAATGGACAAGTCGTACACTAGTATATGAAAGAAAACCATGTCTACGACAAAAATCAAACATTACGTTTCGCCAATAATCTAAACCGTTGCTACTTTTAGCAGTAGTAATAATGAGTGTTCGGAAGTACTCTAAAGCAAGCAGTTTTGCTGGTATTATTAAGACATATCTGCTATGTGAAGGTAGTTCCGTCAGATAAGCGTCTGCTAAAGACCCGGTGCTAAATAAACCTTGCGGAAATTGGAGCGCAGGTAAATAGGTGGGATGACATATAATACAATGATTAGCAAACGGTAGTATCTGCCCAGCTAGCGAAGCTATTGAAAAGGAAATGTTTTTTATGTTTTATCAACAGCTACAGAAATTCATTTTCAGTTCTAACTCTGACTATTTCTATACTGGAAGACGTTGATTCCTACGAAACTGGAGCAGCTTTCTGCCTTAGCGCTATTCTGGGACACCTCAGGCACTTCTAATGATCAATCGTCAATCAATATCCTAGTAAAATTGCCAAAAATGTCTTGAAACATCGCGTGTTGTTCATGTTTTACAAGCAAATAAATATTGTCCAGATTGTATTCTGTAAGTTTGTGCGACGTGTTCTGTTAAAGAGCTTCGTTAGATTTCGCGCAGGAAACTTTTTCCTCGACGATACCTAACGATTTAGACGTTTTACAATCAAGAACTTCGAGTATTGCTGGACATAATCAAGCCCAGCACGAATGTTCACTAGTTTAGAATGGCTACTTCTGCGTTGTTTACAAAGTAATAAGGAGGATGCAGGAGTAGACCGAAGGATACAGCATTGCATTGGTCATATGAAGGCGACGGTCAAAAGCGGTACCTCTCCGCACTGCTGGTAATGAAGTATGGATCTTATCCTTTAATCCAAAAAGACCACGATTTATCCTGCACAAACGAGATCTTTACGAAAAGAAGGCCCCGTTTTGTTTGTTTGGTGGAGCGTGAAAGAAGTTCTCGACCTTGAGGCTGTGATTTCTCGTATGACAGTGCTGCGCTACGTTGTGAATGTCAGCTATCTGAACTGAAGGAAATGTAACTTAATTAAAAAGAATGACCATTTACTCGTCAACGCGCAAGTTGCTTCGTGGCGAGAACCAGTTCGCCAGTTGGGCCTAGAAGTTCTCCATTACGCAGCTTGTTATTAGCCAGACTTGACATTTGTAAACCACCATCTTATTAATGTCGATGCACAATTACTAATAGGAGATGGTTTTCGGGCTTGACGGAATCAGAAAATAGGCCTATGATGGTTTTGATTCGACAGAATGAAAATTTTAGCGTAAGGACATTTGCCGATTGCCCGTAAACGGAAAAAGTATAAATCACTATTGACTATTGATGGTGTCAACGGTGTTTCAGGGAACAAAGTTGAATTTACCTGTACACATAGACACACACACACACACACACAAATCGCGATACGGGTTTCAACTTGTTATTGCAATGTCGAAATACTGGAACATATATAGACTAGCAACTAATGAATTCGAATAAGTGATACTTAAACTAGAAAGGGCTTTGCAAAATATATGGTCGACGAGTAGAAAACATTAAGCATCGATCCGCGGCAGTAACCGCCCGAGCTAACATCACGGTAACTAAACATGGAGTACACTAAAACAGTATATTATCGTTACCATGGAGCCATAAGCCTACCCTAAATTAGCAGTTACAGCATTAGGGCCTAAATTTTACAGAATCTTGTAAAAAAAAACTAATAGGATACGGTACGTTATCATTGAAGCCTCAATTCTAGACTATATAACCCCTAACTATCCGAATATATCTACAACATAGTCAAAATACCCTATTGATCTTTGCAAACGATGTATGTACACAAAATATGTTGTTCTCGTATATTATCTAGGCGTTCTCGTGGAGTTCCTCGTGCCTGCATCAGTAGCTATGGATACCTCTAGATAATGCTCAGTTCTCAAACAAATGAGCGATTTGCACTTAGCTAACGGAACATTTTCTTGGAACAAGAGAAATTATATATCTTTCCCTTATCGATATCTACGACGTCTAGACAATTTCATTGACGGAATAATAATAATACTGATAATATAATGCGTTATTATGTACGTAAATTTTAATTACGTATGGAAATTCTAGAATTCTGGACTTACCTGTAATGTCAAGTGTATATCCTTCGTAGTCGTAGTACATCCGTAACGCATGCATGATGCTCTGATAGCCGAGATTAAAGATTAGCGTTGTCCTCGGCAGTGACTCTATAGGGCAGAATGCTATCAGTAGAAAGCTAAGTGCCGTCTGAAGCAGCATGTGCTTAATATCTAACCCAAAACAAAAACAGAGTACAGCTACGCCCACAATTATAGTGTATAACTGTCTCGCTAGCGGAGTCACTCGAGATGGATGAAGGACCACCCGGTAAACGCTACCAAGTAGAATGCAAGAGAATCCGGCTGCAATATAATTAAACTTATCCAGTTGAACACCGAATACATTAGCAACGGGCTGCAGAAGTTGATTGCCCCGGTACCAGCCGTCACGCACTACCCAATGAGACATTGCCAATTGATAGCGGCCCGAAGTCTCAAAAATCCAGATCAGCAGGCACGCGCATACAAGTACACGTGCACACATACACACTCATGCAATGCTCGAAACAGCTTCCACGAACAGTTGTTCGAATGTTGTCGTATATTGTTTGAATATCGATAATCGGTGATGTCTGCGTATGGCCTAAAAGCAAGATGTTCGTGTCGTCCTAAAAGCCGTCCTTAACAGATTAACGTTAGCTGACTAATTAAAACACTCGATACTACTGCCTTAAACATTCGTTGCACCTTCACTGTTGCACTGCAGCTCGGTTCCATTGCACAGAGTCAATCTAATCGTTATTTTAGTTGATGTCGACGGTGCGCTAGATGACTTACAAAACTAATAATGGCGCCACCATCACCAGGCGTCGTCGCAACATTAGCACCGGTAAGAACGCGGTAAGAGGTCTGTGGCAAGAGCGGTTTGGCGCGCTATAGCATGATCACTGCTAGAACGACCACACCAGGCAGTGCAAATATCTGTTTCTTGAAAATGGCTCCAGGAACCCGGTCTGACAACCTAGTGTTGTCAGCAACCGCTGGTCGCTTTCACTTATCACACCAACGCGACGTTACGCTGGGTCTGTGGATCGGAATAATTGGAAGAGCAGGAACAACAGTAGCTGATGGTTCTGGTAATATGCTGTCCTTGTGTTATTAAAAAAAACGCAAAAGGAACAGGAAAACTGAGTATTTAATGTCACTGATAATGACGAAGACTTTTACATCTTCCTTCTCCGTTACCTCCTTCCCGCCTTTTTCCTGGTCGTCGTTGAGCTGCACCTGTTTCTCTCCTTTCCTTTTTCTTAACGTTACGCGCGTGCGACGATTGGTGCCATAGAAATTCTATACTGTACAGTGAATAGCTGTTGAGGCTGTGCTCTCGGCTGTTGTTGGGGGGAGAGACCGATTGGGTTTCTTTTATATTAGTAATGTACGCCTGAAAACTATGCTTCAGCGTTAATCGACACATATATCTATCCGGCTGTCATTAGCCCGTGTAGCTGGCTGTCCGCTTATCGGAACCGTTAGAACCATGGGTATCTGGACGCTGTCTCCCCAGCTAGATTGAAAGGACAACAAAGACCGTCTACAGGACGGGATGCCCGAAATAAGCAGGCAGCAGTAGCAGCAGCCGCAGGATTTCACAAACGTTAAGGCAACAACAAAGTCGGCATACGTCTCGTGTACAGCAAAACGGCAGAAGGAAGCTTGTCGACGGCAGCCATTCGTACTACCCGTTACTATTTTGGAAGGATCAACATGGCGATATTGTATGGCGTTGATGTTTGCTTCAGGCCATATGTATTGCAAGTCGGTTACAGATAAGAGAGCGGAGCTGGCCTATAATGACTTATGTGGATGGCACTCACTTCTGTGACTATAGCGCCTCGAGAAGCGTACGACCTTAACGTGAATAACAGCGCTGGTCAACATGCAGATCTGAATGCGCATAAATTCGTTCAGTAACAGTATCAGGATGTGTTATCATTATAAGTGGAACAATTATTTAAGTTTGTACGCACGCACGCACGCGCAGACAACCCGCACTATAAGACTATCGCGGCAGTGGGCGCGAGCCGTTAATAATTTCACTTCAGAGCGACCGCATAACCGCGTGCTGCGATAATGGTTGTATATGATTTGATTGTCAATTACGCCTTATCAATTTTGATCTGGGTTTTTGATATTAGTAGCATAGGATGATAGAAACAGAGAAGCGGACCGACGTTATCAGACGTTTGTTGTTATTGCTATTATTGTATAAGAGAAAAATTGTCGGTTTGCCTTATATATAGAGTGCTTTTAATAAGGTTATATTGATTTGAAGAAGCTAAGGATCTGCAACGGAACTTGCCGGCGTTATAGACCCTCTATTGAGGGGCGCCTATTAATTCTCTCTTTGCAGTTTCCGTTGGTCGTTGTTTCTTCCTGTCGTCGTTTTTTTTTTTTATCAGTAACAGTTTCTGTAGCTGAACTTGGCCGTTGACGTTGAGCTAGTCTTAATTTTTGCGGCAAACTAGACGTTGGGCAAACCGCAGCCGATTTCGTTATGGTCAAAGATCGCTCCCCACCATGTAACATGCAACAATGTGCCGGCCGTATCGCACGTCACAATCCCTGCACAGTAGAGTAGGACAAAATCTTAATCTAAGTATTTCTTAACCTGACAATAGAAGTTGCAGGCCGCGTTCGATGGTTACTCAAAACTTGCGTGTTCATGCCTGGGCTTTTGGCAAAGGCCGTCATTCGTCGATCGGGATCGTAATAACACAGTTGTTCGTATCCAATACGAGCTTCCATTTCACCATACCGCTGCGATCAGAAATCCCCTGAAGTTATCAGGAATGTTTTCTTCGAACTGACCAGCCGCCTACGTGTTCTACAATAAGATACACGGCAAATCGAGAACGTCAGGGCAAGATGCATCTGATACGCACATAGGCTGATGTCTAGCTGAATTGCACATCTTCGAAGCTCGACATTATCAGCAGCAGCGGCAAAAATTGTTCACCCATTGCTTCTCGTAATACAAAATTGCTGATCAGAAACTTTATCCCTCTGAACAGCAAATTTACGTAATAACAGCATAAGTAGGAACAGATTACTGAGCGCAGGCGGAATATCTGTTGCTGGTTGTATAGAACTAATTTTTTCCATTTAAGATGCCAGTATCTTCTATATCGAATTGTCACCACGAACTTATCTCACATGATATTCACATTATGCATGTGTTGTTTATATTTTTCCATACAGCGCATTATCTCACGGCAGACTTGTTGCCTATACATGATACGTGCAGAGCAGGGCTAGCGACAAGTAGATAGGTAAGCAGTCATCAAGAAACGCCGAAAATCCGCTAGTCTCTTGCAAGTTAGATTTAAAAAGATAACAAACACATGCGCACAGAAATTGGGAAAATTAGCTGCTCCCACAAGCTGCGGGCACCTCCGTGTGCTTCTCACCGCTCGTACTTTGCCATTAATATATTCTTAGATGAACTCTTACAGAGTTGGAAGTTTTTGCGGCGGCACCTTTCACACATAGCTATAGTTACGGTCAACCGCTCCACGCGGCGTTTACCCAATCATTGTACCTACAATATCAGTCAGGAACGTCTGCAATGACCTAACGAGAATTCTTCCGTAGTAATTGCACATACATTCGATGCCTACTCGAGCTGTTTGCCCTTGCTGCCGCTGGTCACGGGGGTGACTTCATCCGTTTGCCTTTCTGCTCTGTACGTTTGCCCTTCCACCAGTTCGCCTGCTTATCCGTATATAAATATGTATGTATGTATATCAATTTGACCGCTGCATGTCCGTGTGCCGCGGTGTGTTCCTTTGTGTATATATCATAGGTCATTTGTTGTTGTGATGGTCGCAACGTTGTTGGTGGGCTCTGGACGAAGTTCGGCTGCTACACTATCGGCAGTTTAGTGGTAGGTCCCGCCAACCGACTCTATGACAGGCTTACCTCCACCCTAAGCGGTAGCGGTAGCAGTAACATAGAGAGATAGTAGCGCGAATCTTGTAAGTAAGATCTCTAAGTAAGATCCGGTCTACTGGTATTGCATCCGCGGCTACAACACGGTAAAGTTCCCCTGGCTTGTGCAGTGATGCGGGCTGAAACAGGCTTGTTGTAGACTATTACACGACGGTCATACGCTAGGACTCCGTTGAAGCAGCCTCTAGGGCAGCGCTATGGACGTGTGCAAGAAACCAGTACCCAGCTGCGACCCAATCCCCTAAACATGCACACACGCACTCACTAAGGCTAAGCCACTTCGACCTTTTTTGGCAAGCAATTACAGATCGATCCACCCCGAACTCTATCGCCAGCGCTTCTTCAAATCAATCAACGAATTCTTTTTCCTACACCTAAAATAGTCCTAGCAGCATAGACTTAACTGACTACGCAAAATCATCCACCACCAAAACATACTTCATCCCCTTTGCTTTGACTTTGTGAAACTGAGCACCCAAGCGTCGTCTGCCAAATAAAGTCGATCTGGGAAAGGGACCTATGTGAGTAAAAACAGGACTTAGCGCTACGTCGAGCGAGTTCGTTTGAGGAGCCGTAACCTTCCGACTAAAGGTTGTAATTCGAAATCCAGTGTAAGATTCAAAAAATTAAGCAATGTGTAATGTCGTTCGAGGTAAAGAATAACGAAGTACGGTTTATCCATTGGTTATATTTACCAAATCCGATGTTATATCTGGATTCGCGGTGCACTCAGCAATTCGTATAATTAATTCACAGCCGTCAATTAAGCCGACTTCGCGCACAGGAGCATGACACGAATGGATGGAAAAGAAGCGAAGGCCCTTTGGTTCTTAGGGTGAGGGAAGTGAACTAAACAACAATAGACAATAGGCATGCGAACCCTCTCTCAAGGCTGCAGGTGCTGCTGCGTTTCACTTAGGGCTTTCATCCGGCACGTCGTAGGTTATTGGGCGGATCATGCGCGGAAAGTCAGGTCGTGCCTGTATTCAAAGAAGCTATTCCAAATAACTCAATCTAACAGGCAGCATTCTATAAACGTGTGTGAAAGGACATAGGTACATATAGACTGAGTAGATCTATTAAATAGCATAGCAGAAGTATAGGAGGAGATCTGCCTTTACTGCTGGACACACCGATTCTGTGAATATGTTTTGAATTATAATACTTGATGTTTACTGATAGACGGGGAAAATCACTTGTGTTTGAATAGGAGACATTGGGAACACGTATACACAAGCTTAGGCTCAACAAGCAGAAAAACTAATAATCTTTATGAGCAGAAATGATCTGTTTTAGAAAATCTACACTGCTGGTGGAACGAGTAAGGAAGAGCTCTACCAGCGAAACATGTTGGTGTAGGGTTCGGCGTCTACTAAGTAACTATTTTAAACAACTAATATAAGTACGAGTATAAGGACAAATAATTAGGCTATAACAAAATAGCTAGAACATAGTAATAATAAAAAGGAGAAACTTATCGAATTTAGATTCGAATTTGCTACTGTTGCTCCAACCGATCTGAACTGAAATCTTCGTTAAATTACAGATAATTTTTCATCTTACTAAGTACACTATTCCAGTAATAACCTGTGTCAACTAAAATCACATCGTTATCCTTCGTTGATCCTTTGTTAAGTTTGATCTGACAAAGGACTATTGAGACGAATATATCGTTAAATATAATCAGTGATGAGCTCTAAAGAACATGTGGCCAGCATACGTTTTTATGCTGTTTCGTGAAAAGGTCATAGCACTATTGCTTTGCTATTGCGCTGTTCGAGTGATACGACAGGATACAAGGCCGATTGGAAGACACTCCGCCCATTAGTCCGAATTTTAACGGAAGATTCAATGATGCTTTTTTATCTATTCAAGTTTTTCACATATATGGAATAAATGAGAAAAAAAAAAAAAAACAGCTAATTAAAGAAGGTACAGTGCGACATATTTCAAAACGAGAATACTCACTTAAAAAATTTATCATCGAATTTTCGCATTTGATTTCTACGTTTCATTTATATTGTGCTTAATTTTTGTCTTCGGAGTGCGTGACAAAGACAGATTTGCGCTGCGTGTCAAGGAGACTCTTGAAGCAGCCTTGAAAGGAGGCAGAGGAGTCAGTGTCTTTTGAAGGACCACGCGTTAGGCATTAGATGTAATAATTCCCGATGTGGGAGTAGCTTCTAAAACGCCCCTCTTCTAGGTATTTTTTTATTACCCTTCCATTTAACCCATCTATACTTCTAGCAAAGAACGAAGTGCCCATATATATATGGATACTTTCTGTAATTTTTATCTGATTTATGTTTATATTATAGTTTGTCATCGTTCTGCCTTAGTTAAGGATCACTGCGGTGCCTGATACTTTATAGTCTGCTAACTATCAAGGTTTATAGTCTATCAAGGAACGCCATTTAACCAACTTAGCCGATACCGAATTCCTATAGCTTCCATTGTCTGTTCACGTACCCAAACTGAACTCTCTAGTTACCTACGAGCATGTACAAATCCACATTTACTATGGCCAAATCGACAGCGAAGACTTGGTTCGTGTTAAGCGGTGTCAGACCGTTGACAAATGGATGGCAAGGCGATTCGACACTCTAAACTTAAATGTTCGAATTAGTTTGCCTAAATTCAGGCTTCATCCATGCGATGGACTAACTAGTAGAAGGCAACGATTAGCCTTAGTCCTTAGCCATCTGCCCACAGCGCTAATTGCAGGAACTGGCGAATACGTTTAACACCGAAGTAACATACATAGCCACGCGAGTCCACAGCTTCGGAGGTACTCATTGCTCAAGCAAACGTAGTCGAATGAACGTCCTCAGCAAACTACGTGCTAAGAGTCTCGTGCACTCAGATAGTTGTCCTTGATGTAAGCGACCTTGCGACGAAGGAAACGAGTAAATTTTGGGGAACTAGTGACGCTGGGAAAACTAAACTTGTCGATCTTGGTCCTCACCTGTGAGGCTCCCAAAAGCATAGAAGATATATATTAGAAGTATATAGTTTGCGGAAATTCGTCATGCCCGAATGGTTAGTTCGAACCGACACACCAGAATTTTTGAAATAGAAAAGGGAGGTAGGCACTCAACAGAGATCGCGTCGGCTATACAACAGGTCGTCCGGTCGAAAATGGAACAAATAACATCGGTCGGAGACCTCATCGTGCTACCCTGTTTTCCGGAACTCAATTTTTCTCGTTTCCTGCCAATATTCTTGCAATACAATACAACAACGGAAGGTTACTCGGTGGCAGGTTCTGCACTTAGGACTTCGCAAATACACATCTAGATAAACACGAGAAGGCCACGCTGCAAAGTAGCAATTTATATATATGTATAATAACCCAAACGTCAACTAATCAATCACATCAACAAATATTCGAGACACGTATACTCGAATGTCAAAGCATAGCCAAGGGTAGCGCTTCGAGACGCTTACAAGCAGAGCTATAGGTTATGCTATGAATATCGAAAACTCTGTGGTTGCTGCCGTTGCGGGATTTGGTATTATAACTACAGCTGCTACGATACTATCGTGCTTTGGACGGTTTAGATTGCGACCACACGCTTCTGAGGTGCAGATTCAGTAGCACCGAACGGCTCAATGAACAAGAGAAGCTCTACCTTCTCCCTAGTACAACTTTCCAATGACCTGAACATTTGCTGCTGTGGAAACTGTACTGCAGCAGACTTCAGGTGTCCATGGTGGCCTAGCAGTAGGTAATCTTCCCAAAAGCCTCTGAATAGCGGTTTATTAAAAGATTACTCTTTGTAATGAAATTCAACCGATTGGTTGAGTTCTTTTTGAGAGGAGTGTGCATGGTCCGGCCCGCGCCGCTGTGCAGGCAGACAGCTGATTCAGATGATATTCCTGGCAGGATCAACTAACTGAACGCTAGAAGAAGCTAACTTATATAGCCACTTGATATCCGTTTGCTGGTGCGTTTAACTGTCTGGTAGAGAAATTTTTAAGACACATATTTAGTGGCCTCAGCGGATAGAATTTCAGTTGGACT